ACTGAGTAAAACAGAATTAGCATTTTCATAACCATTGCAATAATGTTCAAGATCATTATCATGATGGCTGAGCAAAAACCCAAAATTAGCAAATCATTGAATTTCTTTGTGTGTGTGGGCTATTCTGCAGACTCACATCTGTCTCATTTTGTCACTCTGGATACAGTTTTGTTGTGGTGTCAGTGGTAACATGGACATGGACATCTGTGAAAGCCAGAACTACTTGTCTGCAGATTCCCTCGGCAGCAGTCAGTCATCACAGCCTTTCCTAGATGAGATTTTTCCATGCTGATTTTTCCATGTGATTTTTCCATGCATGTTTCTTTGGGTTTTCCCTTCTAAATTCATGACCTGTGTACTGAAGAACAGCTCGTTCTCTCCAGACCAAGGCATGAATCTAATACCTTCTAAATAGTTTTTCTTTCTGTTTTTATCTTCTTCTGTTGCTGCGTAATCACTGTTCAAGACAATGAAATCAGATGCACTCCTTTCCATATTAAGAAGCTTGCTGTTCTTCCACCTTTCCAAGTGGACTACTTTAAAGCATAAGAGTCTCAAGAGGAAATAGTAGAAGAGTTTTAGTGATTTCAGGATATATGAAAGACAAGTTTCACATGGACAGTAATTTCTCCTTACATTTGCTGTGATCAGCTGGACCTTGCTGCTGCAGTGGTTTTCCTGGTGGGATTCTGCAGGTGCACATTCTGGCATGAGGACCCTGTTCCTGCAGCCAAGCCAGCAGCTTCCATAAGCTCATCTGCTGAACCTGACTGAGCAGATCCATTGCAGTGCTGTGTTCCTAATGAACAACTCAGATAAATACCAGAAATGTCCACTCACCAGAATCTGTGCTTGTTTTGATAGGCTGACCAAATCTTGTTAAGCATGTTATCTTGTTATATTTGTCTATATTTGCTTTGTGTGTTTATCTTCAAATTGACAGGCACCAAAGACAGGCACTTTTTACATGCTGAAAGGTAATGTTAGTTTAGTGTAGGCTATTTTTACCACAGGCACTAAATAGTGTCTAGAGAATATTTTTTTTGTGTGTGTTTTCATAATTTTTGAACATTTATGGTTATCATTGTATGATCAATATTGAATACTATTGACTAGGGAAGCATTTATAGAGACACATATGTCAGAGCAGAGCAGACATGATCAGATCAGGGCTGATTAAACTATTTGATTTGACTGGCAAAAAAGGTTTGGCAGATGCTTTTCATGTCAGTGATAATATCTGAAATGTTGTAAGTAAGGCACTTTCCCTGCAAAGGAGCTCTCTGCCTTCTTCTCATAGGATCCCTATTCCCCATTTTTATTCTGTAAACTCATCTTTATTCAGTAACCAGGTGTTATTATCGTTTTTAAACTGGTAAGAAACTGAGAATCATCTAAAATCAATGTGATTCACAAAATAAATTCACAGGTTGAAAATCAAGTCCAGGGGCTCAAGACAGATCATTGACCTCACCACAAAGTCATCTGGTGTCTCATAAGCTTCATGGATGAGCAAGTTTATGTATGTAATACATATGGGCCTATAAATGTAGATACTAAATCCATAGTAAAACTGTTTAATGGTAGAGAAACATGAGTTAGTCTGTTTAGTGAAACAGAAACATTTAGTCTGTTTAGTGTGTGTGACACTCTTCAGCTAATTTGAGCTAACCAGTTTCTCTTCACCAGTAAGTTGTTCTCTTTGAACAGGATTTGGAGAGGCATACAAATCTGGATATTTTAAAAATATTATTTCTTAGAGGAAATATGTTTCTGTAGAAAGAGATAATTCAGTAAAATGAAACACAATATCACTCTCAAGTAGCTTTTTAAGCAGAGAGAGGAATTACCCACTTCCCATGAACCTGCATTTGGTACTGCAGCTGCATAGGGAGTGGCAATGAAAAGTGATCCTCCCTCACTTCATTTCTTAGGAATGGCTCTTTCTTCTGGCTTTGAATGTGTTCCTTTTTCCTGTCTATTAATAGCAAATCTCATAGATGAGGTTTGCAGATGAAGATTAAAAAAAAACTCCAAAACCTACATAGCAGTAGCGTGTGCCTGGAAATCTTATCTTCCATAAATTGCAGGTTTCAGCTGGAGTCTGAGTAGCATAGTACAGTGAACAACAAATTTTGTATTTGGGGAACTAAGTATGCATCTTCCCATTGCACTGATGGATTCACTGCTGTTTTAATAGGAGGAAAATACCCATTTATTTCAAAGGACTTTGGATCAGTCTGACAGAGTATTGACAAAAAACAGAGATTTGCCATATACTTCAGTATACATTCCTATATTAACCTCACTAACTACATTTTACTTCAGCTTGCAGAGATCTACTGAACAAATGAATTCAGCCTGAACCTTGTTTCTAAGGAAGGTAAAAAGGAAGGAATTGTCACAGGATCATCAAGAGTCCAGGTTTCTTTGAACTAGCTGTGCACAGATACCAAAGACAAATGTTTCACAGACCTTTGCTTAGATTTCCCCAAGCTATGTCCAAACCCTTTCTCCCAGACTGGAGAGCTGCCACGAGGGAGGACACTACCATGGAAAGAATATTGTCAGGCAAAAGAATTGGCAGGAAACCCCTGAGAGAGGAATGAGAGGTATGGCCAGGAGAAAGGGGGTATGGTAGAGCTGGAGCCATGAACCAAAGCAAAAATGAGTTGATTTTGTCTGGCAGCTCCTGGAACAAGAAAAAGAGCACATTTAACTCCTGAAAGCCCCACAGATTCCTCACAGCAGGACACAAGGCAATCCCAGATCTGGCTGGCACTCTGGCTATGCGGGGTCAAGCCAATTGGCTGGCTGGGGTGAGAAATTCAAGCATAAGGTGGGAATGAGGGACAGTGGGAAACTAGGAATGGGGAACTAGATGCATTTGGCTCCTGAGATTTTCTTGAGCTTAGTCAGCTTCGCTGCTGGAAAGTGATGCTCAAGTTCAAAAACAAAGTGAAAGAGGGGAAGAAAGTGCTGAGAACAAAATTGCACTGAAAATGGAGGGGAGTAAATCAACCAGAAGTTTGAAATTATTGACTTGTGTTTGATAGCCACATGAGGGAGATCTAAGCTTAAAAAGTCCTATCAGAGCTGTGTCACATGGAAGGACTCTTTCAGCAGACGCTGGATGAGGCTCAACAGTGTCTCTGTGACTCTGGGACAGCTGAGTGGTTTCATCAAATTGTGCTGCCAGACAACACATGAGGGCCTGGTGACATACATGTTAAAAAACAATTAAAAGCTGATGAAAAGCAAAACTCTTCCTACCCTGTAATCATTCTGACATGCTTTAAAACCTTACCCCATTATGCTATCCATGTCAAACATGCATACTGGATGTGGGAAGCACATGCACAGACATATCACCATGAGTTATATGAACAAAGCTTTCAGAGATACTGAGGATTCTGTACAGAGTCCAAATGCTTCATCAGGCAGGAGGTTGAATGGAGATTTTGAAGGTTTATGAAACAGTAGCAAATTAACATCACTGCAAATTTAGCTTAAGTAAAATGTATTTTCTCCACAATTATTTCTTTAAGCACAAAAAGAATATTTACTCAAAAATTTCCAAGATAATATAGTCCATTCTGTCTATTTTGTGCTGTGCTAAGGTGATCCAGAGGAAACAAATGGGGCATCCATCAAAACAGAGTCAGTCAGGATTAACAGACTTGTAGATGCCTTTGCATAAAATACTGAAGTACCTCATGGAGCAGCTAGTAGCAGGCTGCAAGTAGCTGATGGTGTTCAGGTACAGATTCCTGACAGCTGCAGAACACAGGCACTCCTAGAAGTTCCACTGAATACAAATCATTTATATCCTCAACAAGGTAGCTATGCAATTTGTCCTTCATAGTTTCTCACACAGAGCATGCATGAAGAAATAACTTGTAGTCTATGTTCAGCAAACAAGTCATATGGGCTTAAAGCCATTTTTGTGTCCCCTGTAGCCAGGACCCAGTATCTAAATCTAGTACCTAATGGTCTGTGCTTTTGAAACCCTGTCTTTGCCTTTAGCGTTATCTGCAAGGGCTAATGAGTTGCCAGAAATGTTCTTTGTGTTGTATTTTTAGTTCAGACACAAGTCTGTATATGTCAAAAAATTCAGGCTGACCTCTGACCTAGTGAAGCTGTGTGCCAAAACATGTGCACTTGAGCTTTCAGTTAACTGTCCTCTGTGTGTACTTTCAAACCTCGTGATGTTGACCCAGAGCACATTTCACAGGTGAAGTTTGTCCTGTCACAATCTAATGTGAAACTCACATTAGATCTTCTAGCACCTGCTTTCTGTTCACAAGCAAGAGATTCTGCAGACAGTTTTTAAGTGCCTTTATTAAAATATATTTTTAAGTGTATACATATTTTTAATCCTTATTTAAATTATTATTTAATATATAATATATATAATGTATTGTATAGCAAATATATATAAATATATAGTATAAATAACATATTATATATATATATATATATATATATATATATATAAAATATATAATATAAATAATATATATTTAATATATTTTTATATTTCCATCACCATGTTAATTTCTCAGACATGTGGTTTAGCTGTAACTAACTTCAGATTTGTCCACTACCTGTCTGACAAGTGTAGATGATGGTACCTCACACTGGAGCTGGAGAAACTTGGACTCAGAGGAGTAGCTGGCTTGTCTAAAAGGATGAAAAAATCAGCTTTGGATCTGTGACCAAAACTCATCCTTCCCAAGTCCCACATAGTCAATACTTAACATGCCTGGCCCAGGAAAAGGAACTATTTAGCTCTTGGTTATGGAGGACAGGGGAATTGCTGGAGGTAAATTAACTTTCAAAGAGCCATTCCCATAAAAATTCAACATCCAAATGACTGGGAGCTTGTTCTGTGCAGTGCATGCCAAAACAGGGATCTGTGCTTAACCCTGTCTTTGGGTCTTCATGAACTCAGGGTAATTGGTGCTGTGTCTAACAACTCTGCTGTTATTTCTGCTCAGTTTTCAGGACTTTACTTGTTGTCATTCTTCACGATCCTTGTTGGGCTGATGCTCTACTCCTCCACATCCACCTACGTAGCCCAGGATCCTCGGGTGTACAAGCAGTTCCGAAACCCCTCTGGACCTGTTGTAGACCTGCCAGCCACCAGCCAGATGGAGCCTTCGGTGACATACACCAGCCTGGGGCAGGAGACAGAAGAGGAGCCTCACGTTAGGGTTGCTTAAACCCAGGGCTGTTCATCACCTATTGACAGTGGAGCTCATATATCCATTATCTCTGTATTGTACATAGAGAAAGGTATTTACCAGGTGCAGTTACACTGGTGAGCTGCAAGGTAGCAAATAAGGAAAGCTCATACAAACACAAATTAATTGTTCCAGGATGTTCCTTGCAAGGAGATGCCAGTCCCTCATTTATGAAATGAGCAGCATGTTTGCAACAAACTGCTGTATAGGAATCAGTTAATGTAGCATTACCTGTGAAAGATATTCAATGGGTAAGATGAAATTACAAAAAAAGGAATTCATAGAAGGGTGTTTTACACATGCAGAGTGATATTATGCCTAAGCCACACCAGTTGTGGTAAAAACGCCTTTTTACAGCAAATACACTTTATGCAGTCACTGTTAATTTCTCTCTAAAATTTGTTTGTGCAAAACAGATGGGTTAGTCGTGGTGACAACACCCTGACACATTTTTGCTAGCACCTTGGATTTGGTGAGGGAAATACAATGAGTTCTTCTGTGCTATCTGTCTAGTTGCCCTTTCTAGGTTATCTGATCCATGAATCCAGAGAAGGGACAACTTAGAAAATCTGTCTCTATTCTAGGAATAGGTATAAGGTGAGAATTTTAGCCTTTCTATATTTGCAGAAGTGAAGTACTCAAGCATTGACCTCTCTATGATCCATGGCAGATTTCCTAGTGGCCAAGGTTCTGCATCAGGTGACAGGGAGTCGATTTCACTGTAGTCGAGACTCAACACAGATTTCTTACTTTTAAAGTTTTAACCTGTAGAAAGAAAAATACATTTTCTAGTTTCCTATGTATTGTACCTCTCCACGGAAAGATGACATATCATGTGGATCAGGGCACTTATTTTTTTAGATACTCAGTGCATTGAGGGTGCCTTCTGCTCTTCCAGTTTGCTTAGTCTCTCGTGGTTCATTATTCTAACAATAGCTAGTTAGAGATCTGTCAGTTTTTCACCAAAACCCATAGATTGTAAAAATCAGGAAGATTAAGGAAGGAATTCACAAGCAGAAAGACTGGACCATCTGCTGGTAGCAGTAGCATCTTGCCGCAGTAGCACAAAGGCATTTCACTGGCAGGGTGCAGCCAATTATTTTTCATTAACTGTGAAGCAAGCAGAAAAATTCAGCAGTTTTCTTGCATTCCTGGGAACATGTGAAAATAGTAAGGGTGTGCTCCACACTTCTGTATACTACTGTACATCTGCCTCAGGAGTCTTACCAGAATTGAGAAAATCTTAGTCGCCACCATGAAAAATCCATCTTTGCCTGTATGTTTGCTCTTCTGAGAGCCCAATACAAGGAAATCATTATTTCAGTATCCTTTATCTTATTGTAATTTAAAATTAAGGAAGATGAGATGTTCCTGTGTCTAACAGTAGGTGAGGAATCGAGGAGAGATCTTGGTTTTATTCACCAATCATGCCACATCTTTACATGAATCCTTGGGCATAACTTACCTTCTGTGTGGCTGAGTTTTCCAATCACTATATATGGAAATAATGACATTTTACCTACCTCACAGAGGTGCTATGGGACCAAGTTATTTTAAAATGCTTCAGGATCTTCAGAAAGAAGGAGTTTAAGAAGCACATAACAGTGCTGTAAAAGTGTGTATACATTCATCATATTTGAAAATGGAGTTTATGGCATGGTTGATGAATATTTTGCTTGTGGGCATAGAAGGTGAATTTGATTTGAATGTTATTCTTCTGAAAAAGACTGTTTCAAGCAAAAATGTAGTCCTTCATGTTTGAAAAATACAATTTACCTATTTCTATATAAAAAAGAAGAAAAAAGTCAATCTATACATTGGAGATTAGAAAGGTCACACAGTTCAACCAAGCAGGATGAATTTCTGCTGAGGTAACATTCATTTTTTATAGTCCTGTTCTGCTTTAATACAGAAGGAACTTCCCTGAAGCAGACTGAGAGAAGTTTATATATGCATAACAGACATGAAATGGCAAATGTCAAAATGCTCTTGAACAGCAGAAGTATGCTGTATCTTATTCTTACTGTGGAGAAGAGGTGATTTCTTTCCCACTGTCTTTAGGCTGTCTGCCACAACCCTGCTGTACCTAAGGGAAGGTTCTGCAGTATTGGCAAATCATGCCCAAAACTAGCCCAAAAGTTTTGGTTAAGATGCCTTGGTGCTAAACTAACAAATGTATGATTTTTTTCCCTGCTGTTTTTTTTTCCCCTTCTGTTTTTTAAATCTTTTTAGCACTAATGTTTCCAAACTTTTTTTTTCTTAAACTATTGAGGATTAAAAAAACCACAAAGAAACCACCACTAGATTCCCACAGAAAAACAGAGTCTATATTCTGGGGATATTAAGGAAAGTCTAAATCAAAAAAAAAAAAAAAAAAAAAAAAAAAAAAAAAAAAAAAAAAAAAAACAAAAAAAAAAAAAACAACCACACAAGAAAGATTACCTAACACTTCAGGGTAAGATCCTTGGGTCAAGCCCTTCGAGAGCTTTGACTTAAGGTGAATTTCATACATTCCCCAGGAGAAGGGGTCTGATTACAATCATGGCTCCCTCAGGTACCCAGAGGCACACTGGTGGGCACCTGTCATCTGTCTTTTTTGCTACCTTTTGTACCAATTAAATACCTTTCTCTCAACATTAGTCCCCGTGTTGGTCTGAGAACCTTGAGGATCGTGTGCGTGTGTGTTTCATGTTTACAGTTCCTTCCTTTTGCATAACTGTTTTGATTAATTTCCTTATTAGTATTTATTTTTAAGCCAAATGTTTGTAGTCCTTCGGCCTCCCCCTCCTCATTTTTCTGACACTAACTTGTAGATGTTTGTTAGAGTCTTCTGCGAAACAGCTGGGCAGGAGGCAGCTCCCGGCCAGGTCACGGGGCTGGGAGTTTCTCCTGACAAGGGGCTGCGATCCATGGGTAGCTGAGAGGTGCCACCAGGCGATTCTAAAAGGCTCTGTTTTACAGCAGTAAGTTACGAATGTTTCAGCGAGTGTTCCATGACCAGCCACCATCCCCTGTGCTTCTCATGCAGGAGGAGCTGGGTGCGCAAAGCAGGGCCGCTTCGCTGTCTGTGTTTCCCCATAAACAAGGCGGATGCTCGGATTAATGCCAGTGCGCTAGTCCCGGGTGGATCTCAAAGGAAAGCAGTAGTATGTCCTTACAAATAACTGCGCTGACTGAAAAACTGAGGTTCAGTGGAGGAAATCTTTCCTTCTGCCCACTTGTGTTCTGCAGTCAGAGCCCTCAGTGCGCACCAGCAAAGGCTCAGCTACCTACGGCAGCTACTCTCCGTGTTGCGCAGGACGTCTCCAGCTCCGCACAGCTCCTTGCCTGAACAAACTGAAACCCTCTGATACTGCTGGCCCTGGGCAGCCCTTAGCAAGACTGATGTCATTTTCTGATACCGGATGAAAACCCTCACTGGGAGACAGACCTGGTCTTTGTTCCAGCTATAAAGTTTTGAAACACACAACGATAGACCAAGCAATTGAAAATTTTGCACCACTGTGTCATAAGAAGAAGTTTCAATGTATAGTGTAGAGATTGCTAACTTGTGCTATTAACATTTTGACAAGCGTGTAGTAGCGTTTCCTTTCCTTTTTTTTTTTTTTTTTTTTTAAAACCATTTAGTATTCCTGAGCTAGCTACAAATATAAATTTTACCCCATGGGTAGGATTTTATTGTTAAATGCCATAATAAAGCACACTAATATTGACACCGCAGATGGAAATATGAACCAAAACCAAAACCAGGCAAACAAAATCCCAACCCCAAATCCTGCATTGAGAAGCTGAATAAATCTTTCTCCATTTTGATATTTGCATGCACCTATATGGACTGGCTGTGGCAATGTAATGCCTGTATAATGTTTTCAAGTAAAAAAATAAATGCTTTATGAAAGCGGGGTTAGTGGTTTCTTGACTGTTCCTTTCTGCTATCTTAGCCTAAAAGGATTTTTCAAAAGTCTAAATCCTGAATTGCAGGGAATAGTTTTTCACTGTGCTCAGGGCTTCTTCCCCTTGTGAGGTGTTAACCCAGAACTCTTTCCAAGGTGTCTAAGAATAGATGCCATCAGGCATCCTCCGGTATCTTGCCTGGCCCCAGAGCGCTCATCCAGAAGGGTAAGAGTACTCCTGTATTCCCTCTGTCTTAACCTGCCATTTCCCTAGGGTATCCTCTGGTATCCTGATAGCCACTGCCCTCATTTGGAGACAAATCCACTCTCTCCACTGCCTTCCAGAAATTATTAATTAGTCTAGAATTAATCTGGGGAAATTAATCAGTGTAGAATTAATCTGACAAGTGCATGATATTGAAGGGCTTCTCTGGCAGAGGTTATGTAGTGCCTGCCACTGCCTTTCCCAGGCTGCCCTATGCTGCAACACTACACCCAGCTGAGTTCTGAAAAGAAAGGATGGAGATAAAGTTTAGACACTGGGAGAGAAGGAGTGTCAGGAGGAGCAGAATTAGGATAAGAAAGAAAATAAGGCTTTGACTCATTGAAAGTTCACATGGACAGGAAAGGAAGATCCTTAGTATGTGAGAGCAAGGCATTTTATAATCATGTATTCATTCACTTCTAAGAGTGTTTGCCAGCACATGCACCTCTCCACCCTCCTTGCCTGATGACTCCCTGGGAAACTTTGCATGAGTATTTCTCACATACTTCACTGCTGGGAGTATAAAAGGGAATGGAGAGTGGTGAGCTTATTTCCAACCACTCCCTGCACTGCACAGAGCCCAGATGTTACAAAGCCAGCAGTGCTGCACCCATGCATTGGTTGATGTCTTATATTCCACTGTGAATGTCTCTTAAGTTATACAGAGCTCCAGAAACTGAGTTAGTGTGCACAGCTTTATCATACTAAGAGTTGATTTGCATTTTCCTCCAAATTTTCTCAAGAGACTCTCTGGCATTACAAAATTATCCTTTTATTGCCTGGCTAGAATTCAGCCTGGGTGCTTGAGTCATATGAATAGTAATTGCATGGAATTACCCTAAAAATAGATAATAAATAGACATTAATGAATCTTTCTGTTCTTAAATAAAACACATTTTAACACTGAAGGACACTCAATCAGCTTAAAGCTGCCAGTCTTCCTTTGTTTTTGTTTATTTAGAACTAGTTCTCCAAAACATTACAAACCCAAAGCTGAATGCTTAGCAGCAATATGTTGTGGCATACAAACAAGGAAGAAGTGCTTTTACAGCTAGAAAAGTTGTTTTGTTATGCCTGCTCTGCAATTATAGACAAAAATTGTCAAATAAACAATAACAAAGCCAAACCATTTGAAAGGGAACACCTCTGTTGTGCAGCCATTGACCTGTTCCCTCAGCAATTGCAAAGTGGATACCAAACGCCAGCAATGCAGCAATAATGACAATACTGGAGTAGAGCATTGTCTTTGTCAGCCTCCTCCTCCTGTTTGAAGTGCAGGCTCATGCACTGTGATATTTATTATTAAAAATCCTGCTATATGGAAGATATTAATTCTATAGATATTAATTCTGTCAGTGATTAGTGATTAGTCAGACTGGTTGTGAGCCACCAACGGGAGACAAAACCCTACAAAATCACTCTGATGCTCAGTGCATCTTCCACAGCCTTAGAAAACACCACAGGTGCCCCATGATCCCAGTGATGCCACTTGACTGGGTGCAGGGAGGAACCACTACCATTGTGCTGCCTCTCACAGAGGCATTTCCCTCCATGAGGAAGAGCCACTGCTACCACTGCTATGATACAACAACCAGGTGGAGGAAAGAAAATCAAAAGCAAAAAAGCAAATCTTGAGGTCTGAAGTGAAAGGTCAGCAGTCCTTTCTGTTGTGAAACCATACATTTGCTATTATTTGGGGGTATTTTTTTCCCTTACCCTAGAAGTTCCATTTTTAATTGGAAATTATGCCCCAAGTTCCTCTGGTATTCATGAGGTAAAAATTTGGCTCTTTATTAATAGTCTAATGTATGGAATCTCTTTAAGAATACAGATATTGTCAATCCTACATGCTATACAAATATTTGTAGGTTGAGACTAGGTGAAGCTGATTTTATTAGATTTATAAATTGTATTCTACTTAGATTCTGATTTATAACCTTGAGCTATAGTTGACTTCTTTTGTGACTCCTTATTGTGTACGATGTCCTCAGGCAATTTCCTAGAGCTGCCTAGATCTTAATAATGCATTATTAATTCCTTACTGCTAAATACATTATTTATATTAGCTATTGCATTTTATTCCCCACACCTTGATAGCAGTGAACTCATCAGATTTTAACATAACTGCAAAGTTATCAGTATGAATTCAACTCCTCCTTTCCATGTGCAATATGTACATGCTTGTCAGGAGTAAAATACTGGATTTACCACAATTAAATGATGACTTTTTTTATTTTAGACTTTACCAAAGCAGAGAAAGATAATGAGCATGTGCTGAGTTTACCTGATCACTGAGCACTGAAGCACAAAGTGATTCAATGAAACACCAGAGACACTTTGCATGCAGAATAGCTGGGATTTTTACAGGTGCAGAACGCCTGCCAGCCCATGGATCAACGTTATGTGAGGTCATGCATATTTAATTTCCCACTGCCTATAGTAACCAGCATCACAGAAACCTGGCTGCTTGCCAGATCCATAGAAATCAGCAGTCAGCATTTGCATGTTCTTAAAATGACTGCTTGCCTAAATGAACTTCCTAAGTGAGAAGGGGGAAGGGAATGGGCTGAAGACAACAATAATCTGAAGAACCTCATTATGTGACGCACTGTGAGCAGTGACTTGAACTATCTAATGTAGTTCTTGGCATTGAAGAGATTTCTGGGTGCTAAATAGGTCACACATGTATGCAGCCACATATTTTATGAGCCTTTATGTCCCCATACACTGTTTGTGAGCCTACACTGTAATTAAAAAGAAAGGAGAGTACCCACAGTTTTGTTCATTTAAAACTGTTGCAGCAGGATTGATTTAGTGACTTAAGTTGTCTAGGAACATTGATGCTGTAGGATGTGTTTTTACTTTGCATCCTCAGGTGACACCACCTCTTTGGATGATGTGTACTCCTACACCAGCCAGCAAAGCACTAGGAAATGCAAAATTTGAGTCTTTATTTTAGCCTTGAGCTTTAATACAACATACAACAAAAGCAAATAGGGATTTAAAGTGAAATAGGTATATATTAAAAGGGTAGCACTTAACTTCCTACTTCTCCGTTACCCAGTTTGTCTGACAGTCTTTTTCCCCAGGTCACCATCCACCAATCTCCATGTGGCCAAAACAACTACTAAGCTCATCTTCACCTTTTTTGTCTGAGTTACACTCTCTTCTGAATCACTGACCTAAATGAATTAATTCACAGCTTCGAGGTCCTTAGCTATCCTGCCTCTCCCCCCCAGTCAGGCCCATAGTATGGGTCCTCTGCCTACTCACTGACCTTGCATGCCAACATCTTGCTGCTTTATTGCTGGTGTAGTCCAGCCAAAGGGGCTCCTGACCTCAACATGAGGGCTACTGGTCACAGAATATTTAAACAGTAGTTTCTTTCAGTTTCTGTACAAATGTCAGATTCCAGACCCACTCCATCGCAACTGGAGGTATTAAAAAAAATTAAACTAAAATGCCTGCTCTTCTAGTATATGATATTCAGGCAATGGCATACCTGTCTGGTATGAAACCGATCAGAGGAGATTCAAATAACTATGTGCATTTGTCTGCCATTTGATTTACAGTGAAGGTGAAAGAAGAGTGGCTGGTGGAGGATGAGCTACAGGTACCCTTTGGGTCATTGGCTCTAACAAGTCAGCAACAAAAGCTGTTATATTATTTGGATTGAGCAAGTGAAGGTAATCCACATCATTCTGTCCTCATGGAAAAGACAAACATAAAAAGCAAAATGTCTCTCTAGCTTGTAATTATTTAAATTATTAACAGAGATGGCATTGATTATCCATTTACATATATAGTGATTGGCTTCTTCTGCAGCTCATGTTTTCCTCTCCAGCTTCTCTGCATCTGGTCTGACCAAGGAAATGCTTAATTCCACTAAAAATATAAGAAAAGAGAGAAAAATAAAGGGACGTGTTTATCCAAAGTATAACTGCTTCTCTTTCTCCTTGTACGAATGCCTTCTTTGAGCTACATTTGGTGCAAACATGAACTGTGGCTGAACTGGCCATTTGTCTTCACAGGCTGGGAGGAGGACTGTGAGTCCTTAGCCCCAAACCTCAATCTTCACTTCTACCACAGACTTTAATTTCTGTGAGACGATGGAGAGATCCAGCTGAACTCCTTTTATTTCCCCTGGGTGTAGGAGGAAAGATGCGTGCTCAGTTCAGAACGAGGAAGCTTGTCCTGCTACAGCTACTTGAGTTCAGATTTGGTTGCTGGATACAGGGCTGTGCTCTGCAGAGCCAGCAGCCTGGCACCTGTCACAGGTTTACTTTATTGGAGCTACTGTGGTAAGCTATTGATCTGAAGAAAGGAATTGCAGCAGCTGCACTAGCAAAGGCTTCTCTCTGCTGCTGTAGAGGGGTAAACATCCCTGTCAGCTACAGAATGGGTGTTTCATTATGGCAAGGGAATACTGATGGATTTCACTCTGAGTGTGCATCATAAAATACCAGGGAGCATTTTAATGTATGTGTAACTACACATTCATTAAAAAATACCATAGCACTCCCATTTTAACTTGTGCATTTTTTGAGAGTTTTCCATTCTTTTTGCCCTTACATGATGCCAAGACACTTTTCCCACATCAGCATTTGGAGCAAAATGCTGATACACCACTTGGAGCAAAATGCAGATACAGAAAAGCCAAAAAAAGGCTTTGGCAGCCCAAGAGATTTTCAGTCACATGAAATTCACCTTACACCCTGCTCACATGGAAGTGTCCTAGACAAGAA